AGCTCCTCACGAGGAGATCAATCAGTGTGTTGGCTCATGACCATGATCCCACACGGATGAGGACATGAGAGCAGGTGGGACTTCTTTGGAAGGGACTGTGGCTCTTAGCACACTGCTGAATGCTGGTCTCTCGTGGCTAAGGCAGGTCCCTCTTCCCTCTGTGTGCAGTACCCCTCTGTGTGGTCCAAAGTCGATTGCCATTTGGAATCCTGGCTATGGCCCCCAGTAAAGCTCTGAAAATGTGGGGAAGAAGATGTGGGTTCAAACCCCCGTTCTCTCTCACTTGTTTGTGACTTGGGGAATCACATTAACCTCTCGGCCCTTGCTATTTATTTTTAGCTGTAAAGTGGGTGAAAATGATGGAGAAACCAGTTCTTAGTAGCTATAAGCATTCAATAAATGCACAGGTCCAGCTGGACCCTCAGAACACAACAGGATCTCTACATAGTGTTTTGTTATAACTCTTGGGCCCTAAACACAGGGCAAGCATCTTTACAGAAGACACCGGGCATGGAGAAGAAGGGGCCTGAAGACAGAGGCAGGGGCCAGCCATATGTCTCCAAGCTAGGGGATAAGTGGGGACAGATCCTCCCTAGCTACCTCCGGGAAGCACCAACTGGGTAAACCTCACATCAGACTTCTGCCCTCCAGACCACGAGCAACAACTTTCTGTTGTTTAAGTCATACAGCTTATAGAAATTTGTGACGGCAGCTGAGAAAGAGAAAGAGCTACAATTGTGACGGCCACTGTGGCCTTCACCATCAATCCAGCGGACCACTTGACACATTTGACCCTGCCCCCTGGTAGTCTCTCACAAGGGATCAGCTTGAGACCACTAGACAACAGCCTAATGAAAGGCACTGAAGTTTACTGCCACTCACAGAACAGGTCCCAGTGGCTAGGGGAATCCCAGTTCATCTGACTCGCGGGCCAAGACTTCCTCTTCATCTCAGGAGGTCCTGTCCATGCCTTGCTAGCTTGCCTTCTGCCTCACCGCCATGGTCCTTGGCCATGTGAGCAGCTCTCTATCCCTGTAGAGAGCATGTGCGATGCTCTTGAGGCCTTAAAATTCCTCTAGCCTCCATTGCAGGGCTCCCTACTATACACTGGGGGTGGCCTCAGTTTGCTGTATACATTCTTATTATGAGTTGCTGTATACATTCTTATTATGAGCACACGGTAGTTCTGGGAAGTGCACAGGTGTGTACAACTCTCCCCAACACTAAGCTGCTGGCCCAGGGTAACTTCTGGGTAGTGGTGGCAGGCCCTCCCTCCTACATGCTTTCATTCCACCTTCATCCATTCTCCTGGTGCCTTGGCAGTGCCACACTCCCACCTAGCTCCTTGAGTCCCGCTAGTGTCCCTCACATGAGCCTGATGAGTGGGTACTGTCATTTCTCTGTTGTCAGTTTGGGAACCGAGGCTCTGTCCTTCTGCCTGAAACCTAGCAGCACCTGCTGAATCCCTTGCCTTCTGTTAGATCTCCATGAGGGTCATAGCAGACACTTAGCTGTCCTTGACCAGTGGCTTTCTCCCTAACTATGCCCTCATCTAAGGCTCCCATTAGGAAGAAGAAAAGAAAAAGGAGGAGGAGAAGGGGAGAAGGTGAAGGGGGAGGAGAAGAGGAGGAAGGAGAAGATGAGGAGGAAGAGGAAGAGGAGGAAAAGAAGAAGCAGCAGCAGCCGCCGCCGCCTTTGCAGTTTCAAGATTATGGTCTGGAGGAGAGCAGGGTGGGACAGATACCCAGATTCTAACTGCCTCCCACACTGATCTGGGTGCTCTAAGGAAAAGGTGGGGGAATCTGACCATCTCCACAACATGTGTGTATATGACACACGGCTGGGCTGGGAGCTGAGGACAATGGGAGGAGCCTCCTCCTGCATTTTCAGGTTCCCAACCTGACCTATATATCCTATAGGCTGGCCACACAGAAGCTAAAAGTCCCCTATAGTGCACCGTAACCCCCCCAACCCATTATAGAGAAATAAGATTTAAGACAGGAGGGGCCATTTCCCCAAGACCTGTTTCCAGCATGATATCCGGTCCACCTAACCTCCCCAGGCGTTCTCCCAGTCCCCTTCAGCTCCTGGGGTACAGGTGAATGGGTTAGAGTCTAAAGCAGTTGGAACGGAAGCCCTGAGCTCCCGAAGCATGAAGGGGCCAGACATGGGACCTCCTCCAGCCCTCCTCTGGCCATCAAGGCAAGAGCCCCCACTCTCCTTTCCTACCTTTCTTTCTTCCTCTGACCTTGGACTTGGCCCTCATCCTGCCTGCAGATCCTGATGCCAACTGTTTCTTTGCACACAGCCCATGACAGTGCTCCAGCTCTCAGACAGCTGCAGGATGAGATGGAGCAAGAAACCTGGCTACAGGTGAGGAGACTCAGGGCAGTGAGCTGCAGTAGTGCAGCCAAGGTCATACAGGTGGCCAGGAACAGAGTCTGGGGTGCTCTTCCTTTCAACCTGGAAGCGGCACATGGGGACACTCAGGGTCCGCATGGGTCACCGTTGCTTTTCTGTGAGATTTCAAAGAGCCCATCTGGCTCTTGACACAGGAGGGATAGAAAGCCACCCCTGTTGGGGGCAGCCTGCCTATCACCTCTCAGGTGTCTGTCCTGTGGTACTCCAACTGCCCTCATACCAGAGGGGCTAGACAGCTGACAAGGAGGGGCCAGTAGTTTTAGCTCCGTGACCTTCGGTGGTGGCTTCTTGTTTCTCATCCGAGACAGGGGGATACTAGGATAGTTGCAGAGAAGCCATGCATATGGGGCAAAGGGCTATGTGGATGCTAGCTGGTGTGACATTTGCTAGGGTTCCCATTAAGGATGGGTGAGGGGAGTGGGGGACGGCTGTGGAGGGGAAGGTGTCTCAGACTCTGCACACTAAATCATAGGCAGCTTTTCTGCCCTCAACTGGAGAGAACTTGCAGGCTACTGAAGGAATCCCTGGGACTCAACTCTCAGAGGCCACCTACCAGTGGGCTGGTTTCCTGGTTCTAGAAAGGGCTGGTGGGCTTTCTGGGCTGCTGGTGGTCTGACCAATGGGCTGCGGCTGCACCCACCCCCTCCTCTGTCTCCTTTCCAACTCCAGGCAGCCTTCTCTGCAGACCATCAATCACCACCGACGGCCTTGTTCAGTCCAATCACAGCTCCCCGGCAATGTGGGCTGACCCGCCCCTCGGGCCTTTCAGGAAGCTTAGGTGGCCACTCAGGAACCAGTGTCCTTCTGGCCTCACAGTCAGTCCCCCAGGGGCCTCTTCCCAGAGAGCATAGGGCTACCTTTGCTTCTGGAAGCTGAGAGATGATCCAGTGTTTGCAGAGGTGCAGCAGCTGTGTCCACTGCTGTCTTACATGTGTCACCTGTGGGCACATTCCAGGTGCTGGGTCGACAGGCATGCCTGTGTTGTGCATCTGTCACCTGCACTCTGGGGCAGCCCTCAGAAGGGTATGTAGTACATTATGGTAGCTGCTGCAGGTCCCTATGTGTGTAAGAGATGCATGCATATGGGGGCAGGCTACACTCACTGGGGTGTTCATACTTCGTTCAGCACCAGGGTCCTAGGAAGCCAGGAATGCATGCTGTGTGTGCAGGGGCTATGATGCTTCTGTTAGTACAGGCATTGTGTGTTTACATGTATGATCTGAATATGTATGATGCACTACTTGTGGGTTCTATATTGGCCCATGTACACTGAAGTGAATCTGTGCATATGCATGCACCCTCGTGCAATTGAACTAGGTTGTGAAGGTAGCTAAATGGGAGGCTATCAGCACCCTCTCTCTACTCTCCCTCTCCCTGCAGACTCCCCAGACCGCGAAGCCCCTTCTTGCCACTGCTCCTTCAAGGAAGTTACCAGGCAGAAGCCCCAAGCTCAAAGCCTGTGCTCCAAGCCCCCTCCTACTGTACACGTCAAAGAGAATTTCTCCGGATGGCAACCACCGCTCTGGGAAATGCCCCAAACGTCAGCTCTGCCTCCTCCTAGTGATGTGGAGAGCCATGCCCAGTGGAAGGGAGCCCCTTCCACACTGCTGGGACTCCTGTGTCACAGGGAGACCCTCCACACTCAGCTCTGCTGGTGGTTGGCCTACTCACTTACCCTTCTGAAGGTCGAGCCAGACTCAGTCTCTAAGGGGGCTCTCCTAATGGGGGTAGGTCACCTGCAGGGTCCCCTCACCACTCAGTATGTGGAGCAGAGGCAATCTACTTGGCTTAAAAGGGGGTGGTTGTCAGCATCTGTCCACCCTAGAAAGCCCAGATCCTTCAGGGAGGCAGGGAGGAGCCCCAGGTGTTTCAGTGCTCAGAGGGGGTCACCTAGGCTGGCATGCTAGTGAGGAGCTGGGCTTCGGGCTGAAAGTGCCAACTTCACCATCCATCTAGCATGACTGCTGCAAAATGGCCTGCCCACCCACTCCTGCCCCTGCCTGCCATCAGGGGGACTTGGGACACATCCCTGCCACCACATGCACCACATGCCTAGCTCTCCCCATCAAGTGGATCCCTGTACACAGCAGCCCACCATCAAAGGGACCCTCCATGAGGGTCTCCCCTAGCCTCTTTCCCGGGACACCTTCCAGTACTCTATGTCTTCCAGGGACCAGGATCAAGAGGAGACCGGTGTTCCTGCTGACCGGCAGCCACCACTAGCCCTTGCATAACATCCTGGGGGCATGTGCCGGCTGGAGGCCACCAGCATCCACCTGAGACCCTGTATCCCCTTCTGCGGGGCTCCCTGTTCCTGTACCCAGCCCCCACCCAGACTCTCACCCTGGACTGTCCCTCAGCCCGGGATCCCAAGCATCCCCAGCTGCTTCCAGATAAACAAGCCAAGCTCCCACCACCCCCTCCTCCCGCCGCCACCATCAGCACTAGGGGGAAAAAAAAAACGGCAAATGCAATCAAATCAAATCAAATAGGTAAGGGAGGAAGGGGAGAGCGGAGCCGGGCGCTTTTATTTTTTATTTTCTCATGCTTGGGTGAGGGGAGAAATGCCGGTTACTTACTTGGCTAAAGCAATCGCCAGCGATCGGCTCGGGTTCCAGGCGGGCAGCCCGTAATCGCGGTGCGGCAGCTGGCGCCGCGCGGAGCCCAGCCCGCGCGCCCGGTCCCTGCGCAGACTGTACCATCGTGCCTGAGGCTGGGGGGGTGGGGGCGCGGCCGCCGGGGGAGGGGCGCGAGCGCGGACCGAACCATCCCGCTCCCGGGAACGCGGCGCTGGGCATCGCTCCCACGGGACTCATCGGCGGCCGCCCGCAGAGCCCCAGGGAAAGGCCCGCTCCCCTAGCGCAGGAGGCCGTGTCAAGGGCACGCAGAGGGGAGGGTCAGAGACCAGCCCCGGACGAGCAGGGGGTGGTGAGAGCTAAGGAGGAGGCACTGCTTTCATATGTCTTCCCCAAGTCACTTCCTACTTTGTTAGCTAGGGTGGGGGGTTCCAGCCTCCCCAGACACTGAAGGAATGCCTCTATACCTGGGAGCAAAGATTGCACAAGGGGGCATGTCTAAATGTGGTGACAGGGTCTGTGGAGCAGACTCCCCAGCTGGCTGCCTGCTGTTACCTACACCCCTCTGAAGCCCCATACCCTGCCTGGTTGTGCCCACCTGCCCCAGGGTGGGGATGGGTCTAACCAGGAGAACCTTGAAGAGGTCATTTCTATGCTGGAGTGTTAGCACATTCCCACTATCTGCCCGGGTGTCTGTGATGAGTTGGGGGTGATCGCACTGGAGGCTAACCATGTCTAAGGGACTCCAGAGTGATTCCATTTGGAGTCTGCAGAAATGAACTCCCCCATTCAGCTTCTCATTCCTCCTGCTTCATCACCTCACAGGGCCGACCTGTGGACTCTTAATTCCAGTCAGAACCTGGACTGTAAATTCCAGGGACCAGGGCTCTAGCAGCCAGGTGAGGGGGTCTCATTGGGTGAGGAGTTTTCTCTTTACTTTCTCCACTGGCTGAGGTTACCTCCTACCTCCCTGGCCATGCCTCTGTACACGCCAGGAGTAGCATCCTGCTTGGAAGAGGACATGGCCGATAGAAGGGCCTTCAAGGCCAGTATGTTGGAGCACCTATTAGCCTGAGTGGATATAGGAGGGGCAGGACAAGGTGGGGTCACTCCTAGAGCCAGTTCCAGATAAAAGCTGCCTCCATCCCCACCCCCACTTCTGCCCACCTAGGAGCCGCCCGCCTTTCCAAGCGTCCTGTTGCTGCTCCATCCCTGGCTGGCACGGAATATCAATTTGTCTCGTTAAGCTGAAAGTCTGCACTGCACCAAAATCAGAACCCGCCACACAGAGGGGCTGAGGAGGGAGAGAGCCAGAGCAGAGCCCAAGGCAGGGCTGCAGAGCAAGGTCACACCACCATCACCAATACTGTTCTTTCAACCCCCCAGGCTGATGGTAGGACCCCATCTACCCTGGCCAAGCAGTGGGTGCATGTGTGAGTGTGCACAGGGGTGGGTGGGTGGGTGGGGGCAGGTGTTAAGGATGCCCAGTCCTGGGGATTGTCTATGGAACAAGAATGTGACTCAGGGATGACCCTTTCCTGGGATTTGCACTGGACAGACTTGGGCCTCATCAGAGGGACTCTTGCCTCAGGTCAATAGCCCAGGGCTGGGGCCCCTGGAAACAGCCTCATCTCTGCTTCTCTTTAGCCCCACCCTTCCTGGGGGCATTCTACTGGCCACACCTTGACTAAACTCCCAAGTCAGCACTGTCCCTGTGCATCCCCACTCCAGGACCAAGTGCCAGACTGGGAGGCTAGAGGCTACCCTGCCCCCATCATGACCTAGAGAAGCCACCCGCCTTGGCTCAAGGAGGTGGGCCCAGAGGGCAGCATGTGAGAAGCCTCTGCCAGCTTACTGTGTGTGCAGGAGTAGGACATCATGCCAAGCCACTTTCCCTGATAGGTGAACAAACAGAGAACCCTGGGGCAGGGGGTGAGACACACTCGTTTCCTTACCATGACCCTTCCAGTGTCAGGTACAGAGCCACCTGCAGATCAGGAAACCACAGGTCCTTGCACCCTGGGGGCTACTGTAAACACTTAGAGGAGAAGGCTGGGTGTGGCTGTCAGGGCAAAGCTACACAGCTATCTGGGTAAACTGCCCCTGTGACTGAGGTCCTTAGGCCCAAGCCCAGGCTGAAGACAGGTGCCTGGCAGGGGCCCCAGTACTCATCTACTTTGAAGGACTGAGTCCAGCCTGCTCAGGGTTTCTCTGTATTGCTTTGGAGCCTGTCCTGGGACTTGCTCTGTAGACTAGGCTGACCTCAACTCTCAGAGATCTGCCTGCCTCTGCCTCCTGAACACTGGGATTAAAGGCATGCACCACCAATGCCCGGTGCTCCAACTCTCAAAACAGTCACAGATTTTGCTTCTTAGAGTCTAAGACCAGCATCCAACAGAAATGGACCTAAATAGCCAAATTCTTGGCAAGCCAGGCCCCATGTCCTTCCATCTCTGAGTCTACGTCTTAGTGGCTTCTAGGTCCATGAACTTCTGCTTATCCTGCAAAGCCACATTCATCTTCCCCTTTGCCAGACAATCCTATGTACTCCACATACTCAGTTAGCTTATCTCAAATATCATCTTTAACCATACCATGTTGTGACAGTCTGCAGATCTGTGCCTCTCATTGGGCTGTATCTGCATCAGATGGGTCCCAAGGGCCCTATATGCTAGGTGCCAGCATGTTATGGATGCAATAAAGGCCTGACTGAATCACTGCTGTGTGATTTTGACCCACGGAGTACCAGACCCAGCAAGACCCTTGGGAACAAGACCTCCCACAGTACAGTAGCATGGATTGAGGCTCCAAGAGAAAAGCTAAATGCTTTGCCTAACGATGTCTCTGAGAGTGGGAGGTGGCTACAGACGTCTGCCTGTCCCAGCCCAGATGTTGGGCCATCTTTCCTGGCTGTGGCTACTTCTAGGTCACTGTGTTGCCCTTCCAGGATGCATTAGGGGCCAGGGGTCTGGGCAAGCTGGGGCATTGGGCAATCAGACAAACAAAGCATTTATGTTGCAACCCTGGGGAGGCTGGACGTGACAGAAAGTGGCCACCCACGGGGAATAGGGCACATAGGCAGGTGACCCAGCTGGGAGTGTCACTAACAGCTTTTCATCTAGCCTGAGTTGGCTCATGGTGGACCTGGTCTGAGGGTCAGGGACAGGGCAGGAGTGAGGAGTAAGAAGGGCAGGAAAACAGCTGATGGCCCTGGGTTTGGTTAGCTACACTGGGGAGGGACCTAGGGCCAGGGGAAGGGCTGAATGGAGAGAGCATTTTGCCAAGATCAGTCTTCTGGAGTCAGAAGCCAGTGGCCTCCTGTCTGAGCCACTAGCTTTCCATGGAGAGATAGGAGGTATCCTTGAGGCACATGCTTTCGTCACCAAGAGCATCTGTCTGTACCTAGGAAAGAAATTCCCTTCCAACCCCCTTCTGTGACTGTCTCTGACCTCTACAACTATGTGTGGGCCCAGTCCCATTTTACAGAACAGAGAATGGAGCCCTGAGTATCTGGGATCCCAGTAAAAAGTAAAGGCAGAAGGCAGAACCCACATGTGTCCCACTGGGGTCCTAGGCCTTGCCCTCTGATCCTACCAGAGGTCTCTTAAGTCTGAGGAACAGCCAGGGATTCTGCAGTCAAGACCTCTGAGTGGACCAGAGTGTGTATCTAAGAGTACAAATAGCCTGGTTCTTCCGAGATCTCCTCAGTTGAGCCCACACCTACTCTATATCCACGCCACTGGCCCCAAACCCCTGCAGCCAGCTGGTTCTGGGGCTGGGTGGGCTTCAAGTCCTCCAGGCCTGATTTTTAAAACTAGCTCACTCCTTTGCTTTTGAGGTGACCTTGGGCAAGCGACTCAACCTTTCTGGGTCTCAGCTGGCTTATCACCAGAGGAGCACTAGCTACAGGGCAGTGGTGTCAGTCAAGAGGAGAATGGCAGGCATTAATAATAGCCGAACACAGGACTTGGCATTCTCTGAAAAATATCCCATGAAAATGTGACATGCCGGGTCTCTTCCATCCCCCTTTCCTGGGAGAGAATATTTTTAGATACCTCTGCACAAGGGAAGCGTGGCTCCTACCTGAGGCCCCAGTTCCTGGCTTTTGCTTCTAGATCCCTTCATGGAAGGGTGTGGGTGTGGCTGCTGGTGACATGCACACATGTGCAGTGACTACCACACATGACTATTGACCATTTACCATCAGACCTTCAGTACAGCCCCCTTGTGAAACCCTGGGAGGTGGGCCCTCCCTATAGTTCTAATTCACAGATAAGGATACTGAGGCAGGGTGGGCTACATCAGTGAGTCAGAATCACAGAGACTGGGTACACGGGGACCCAAAAGGTACCACCCAGGCAAGCCCAGCCAAGGGACCCCACCAAGGTGAGTATGGGCTTTCCTTCTGGTCACAGGGCAGAAGCTGCCAGCCCTGCCTCCCCTGTTGCCGGTAGCAGACGTATACCTGTGACCTCTGAGAGGGGAATCCCGGACCTTCCGGAATTGGAGCTCATGAAGCAATGGAGCCAAGGTCATAGGAGTGACTACTGCAGGACTGGGAATGGAGGGCCCCGAGGACTGCCTGGATGAAGCATCTCAAATCAGAAACAGTCTCCTTCATGCTCCCTTCAGGCTGGCACCACCTTGCCAGTGTGCACAGCTACTTCCTCACCATCCATCCTGACTTATGACCTTGAAGACCTTGGTTTCTGCCAGTTCTCCTGAAAACTCTACCTGAAGCCCTGCTCCGACAACTCCCATTACTCCCTGACTCCACACCCAAACTCATCTTTCCCATGCCCTGTCTGGAGAACTCCTACACATCCTTCAAGAGTCCTCTCCAGCACTCCTTCCTTCATGAGGACTTCCAGATTTTCCTTCTCCATCAGCTGATCTTCCTAAGAGCATGTATTCATCATGCTGATGTGCTCCTGGGGACAGGAACATGGGTCTCATTTGTCCATGACATTCCTGGCAATGGACACAAAGCCTCAACATATATTGATTGAATCAGTGAGTACAAGTTTGTCAAATGGAAATGCAATCCCTGGAATAGGTTTGATGTTTGCCTTTCTTGATGGCGCTGGGACTGCTCTTTGGACTGGGGCTTCTAGTGTAGGAAGCTTGCCGATGGGTGGGGTTCCC